TGTGAAGGGTATCAACCATTCTCGAAAGAAAAAACGAAAAAAAAGCTACACGCGAAAATCAGGCGGTGTTCATAAGGGTGCCACCGTGATGAAGGATTGTAAACTGATAATTACACGAAATGGCAACGAATTTAATCGGTGTTACTACTCACTGCAGTATGCGTGCTCCTCAATAAAGGATTTCTTCTTACAGTATGACAGTGGTGCCAAGTGATGTTTCCTTTTGACTGTACAGTGCGATATCCCGGCCACAGCAGCAGTATTTTGGCGGGCTCTCAATCGTTTAAGGACCGAAGATTGTCGAAATTATTCCCAAGTCTTCAGCTACAGCGTGCCTCTCAATCAAATGGCAGTTTTGTCACCTTAGACACATAATTAAAATTGCATGATGCAACTATCGACAAGAACGGTGTCGCGCGCGTAACGAAGGAAGTCGAAGCTGTGGCCGTGTGGAGACTACGACTCGATATAGAAATATTATAACGCGAAAATTCGGGTTTATAGATGCTCCTTCGATACCTCAATTTTCCTCATTTTTTATTCGTTCACCAACTGAGCTTTAAAAACTGCAGGCGGTTTCCCCAGGCATGACTGCTTCGCCGTCGTTTGTTAATACCTGCGTTTGGACCATGTGTTGCAGCTTTGACATTTCGTTTTGCTTTGAATGCAGTAAGAACAAACCCATTAGAATGCTTTTCGCGGACGTGTCAGCAATTAAACACAAGCCTATAAGCGCGACGTATGCAAGCCCATATGACAGGATCAAATCCCGGCTGCGGCGGCTGCATTTTAGGCAGAGGCGCAAATACTGAGGTGCGTGTACCTAGATTTAGGGGCAGCTTAAAGCACCCCAGGTGGTCCAATTTCCGGAGCACTCCTCTACGGCGTCTCTCTTAATCGTACGGTAGTTTGGGACGTTAAACCCCTGCTATTACTAATATCAAAGCACAGAAGTGCATAAAAGGCGAAGCGTGAGGTGACAGCCCATGCTAAGGTGGCACCTATTCGCGGCCGTCGATACCAACTGTATCAGCCACGGCTCCTCCCTGAACACACTCCCCCATATTCTAGTACACTATAGTCAAGGCCACCACGGAGGCACCCGTATTAGGGTAGCTGGAATAGGGAGGTGTGAAAAGCGAGCCGTGTTTCCCTTGCCGAGCGGCGCCACGGTGCGCGAGATCTCCGCTAGGCCTTGATTTAGCGTGGCGATCGGAGGTGCTGCTGCTAGCGCGGCGGAGTCGGCTGCAAGTGCAGTGTATGCAGGGGGAGGCTGCTGGTGACTCGTGGTGTGTGCTTCTCAGCATCGTTTGTGTTCTGCGTGGTGCGACGACTTTGTGATATTTGGACCTAAATGATTAAAGGGCGCCTACAAGGAAGAAAAAAACACCGTGGACTTGTTTTGTGCCTGAATGCAACGTGGTATACACATCGTGGGCTGAAAAATTTTCCCTGTTTATGTGCGCTCTGGCATGCAAAGACAGGTGAGCACAATGGAAGCGCACCATTGCAAGGGTGGACAAAGCGCTTCAGGAAAATTCCGCAGTCAGCGAAAAACATTTTGACGCATGGTAAATGTTCTGACTTTATTTAAGGGCAGAAATGACTTGTGTGCATGCGTGTACGGCATCGGAAAGTGAGGAAATTGAACGCTTTGTGGCGCTCTTATCACCTCGGGCATTTACAGGAAAGTGAGGATATTGAACGCCTTGTGGTGCTCTTAACACCACGGGCATTGCTTTTCGATAAATAGAATTATTTACCTGAAAATTGTGTCTTCTCGCTTGGTTTTTATATTCAGCGTGCGAGAATTTGTGCATATTGTGAAAGGACAGGAAGAATGCAGCGTGACAACACTAGTTTAAGAAATGATGCGGTACCCACCTTATTCTCAAGCCTGCCCAAATATATATAGAAAAGTTGGACTAAAGAACCAAAAGGACAAAGTGCTGCTTCATCGGACTACGTACCAGCAAAGAAGTGGCCCGATACTCCTAGTACGTTGAAGGATCACCCAAATGACTCGACAAGCTGCCAAGGCAGGCGACTAGGAATTGGGATCTAAGCCTACCCAAATATATATCGAAGAAATTGCCTAAAGAACGAAAAGGACGAAATGCTGCTTCATCGGACTACGTACCAGCAAAGAAGTGGCCCGATAACCCTAGTATGTCGGAGGATCGCCAGAATGACTCGACAAGCTGCCAAGGCAGGCGACTAGAGATTGGGATCTAAAGGGACTTCTGTATCCGTCAGAGGCTCGGTAAAACCTGGCAGAGACTATGGAAACCAAGTTGGCACATATGTGTAGCACAGTGCGCCTGCAATCGAATTTAGTAGCCAGTCTTTCACGATCTCTAAGCAGTTTCAAGAAATCGGCTGCATTGAACATTGCAAAAAATTGAACAAAGCAGCGGTCAGATCATTTTGCACGACGAGAGTTCTTTTTAAAGGTCTGAATCAAGTAAAAAGCGAGAAAAAAGGCAAACGATTCAAGCTTTCTGTCACGTAAAAAAAATGTCAGTTAGTGGCTTACTGTAATAAATGTTTTTTGCAGCCATGAAACTAAATGTTGTCTCAGTTTCAACACGTTTCAGAATACTGCCTCGAGTGTAATACAAGTCCAGCATTGAGAACATGGCAATGCGTACATGCACCCGGTAAGTCGCACTGTCTAGGTAGATTTAGCAGCAAATTTGTCACAATCTATCGCGGGTTAGCACAAGGCAATGTTGACAAACTAGCATCGTCAAAACTACCTCGCTCCACTAGAGCAAGCTTTTTTTTACTCCGTTAGGACGTAGTTCAAAGTTACGAAAAAGAAAACCGTTTTGGTTTCACCAAGCATATAAAGAGTGGTGCTGTCGGAACGATGCTCCGTCGAAAACATCGTTCTAATGGAACGTTCGTTCAGCGGATGATGCATGTATTCATAATTGGTGAAATGGCTGTTTGATATTCACTTTGATAAAACTTTCGTACTGGCTAAAACCACGAAATGACCATCGCGGGTGCGTTGCAACAAAGAAAGCTGGCAGCGCCTCTGACTACAGTGCCACCGCTACAGGCTCGCGAGTGGGAGCCACCTTGGAGCTTTTCACACCTCCCAATTCCAACCACCCTACCGGTATGCCAGCATTGCCGAGTCGCCTCGTAGAAAATAGAGGGTGAACCAACACATGGGGTGGGGTGGGGGTGGGGTTTTGAGAGCAGCTGTGTGTGTGGTGTGTTTTGTGAATGAGATTGTTTTCGTTTGTTTCTGAACTACTGGAACCCGAAGTAAACAGATGAAGGGAAAATCTGCCTTGTTCACAAACCATGACGGTTTAGTGGTCGGTGAGCTCTCAGCGCATGTGCCTAAATCTTTGGCAGTCTTGTAATGTAGAGAAAACACTATTGACGTCAAAATTATACGGGCCGAACTGCCCAGTAGGATGCGAATAAACGCCGCAACTGTTATGAAATATATGCTCGGTATCCCGTTCCGAACAATTTACGTGTTACACCCCTGTCACACGGCCAAAACTGAACTTTGTTAAACTCCGTCAACGTAAATTTCGCCCAGGGAGTTTGACGGAGATTGCATTGTGGGAGTGTGTGTTACACAGCAATGACAAGGTTGTTATAGTTGCCGTGAAGGGGCTCAGCCAGTGCTGTTGGATTTTCGCAGAAGTGTCCGGATTTCATTTCTCGATGCTTTTTTGTGAATTTCCGTTATTTAACTTTTACAAAAATACAATATTGAGGAGGTCTGAAGCGAACAAAAATTAAATTTTCAAATGAAAATGCATTTGCTAAATGTAGCGATGCAGGCAGCGGCGCTGGCCACCTTGCGCCCAACGCTACATTTGTTTACATTGCAACATTCTCGACGAATAGTTGTTTTTTTAGCCCGTGTATGAAAGTGTGTTTTCTGTTACCGCGAGCGCACTCCAAGTTGCTTTTGAATGAGGTCGGGTCCCATTAGCCATTCCTGCAGCTGTCGAATCAGTTGACGATAATGGAGCGCTGCCAGTGGTTCCTCTCACGGGCAAACTTAACACGGCGACGACCGCAATCGCAAACGTGGATGAAATATTTTTAAACGGCAGCGCCCAGCCCTACTGGCGAGGTATGGTGGGGAGGGCATCGGGGTGGAGAATAGCTGCACTCCGGTGAGCCTATATAAATGTAAACAAACACGTTATGAATGAGTACTGCAACAAAAAAGTTTAATATTGCCGAAATGAGTTACTGTGCTCAGTGTGGCAATCCGGCGCTCGAAATTTGTTTCATACCTTGAGATACCGAGGACGAGAGTACCTCGTTCAGCTGCAAAGGGAGATCGTTGAACGCCCTTTGCGAAATGCTCCGTTTACCTTCGTTTGCGTAATGGTGGCCGTGTCACACGAACCTCATCTTCTATGTCGTAAGGACGTGGGAGTGAAACGGTGTTCGTGAGTGCACACGTGACAGGGGTATTAGTCCTCCGACGATCATTTTCTCAGCGGCTGCCCACCGCGCCGTAGTGCCTTATACAGCGCTGTCAGTTTGGTTGCGCGCATACTGACATACGCGCTGGTTAATAATAGGAGCTTATGTGATCAGCTAAACCTACAAGCTCTACAGAACACGCTACGCCACAATAAGTGAAAACTTACGGGATGGTTTCATTAGAATCTGCAAAGAGTAAACAGCTGAGGCGAGAAAATTTATCTTCGGAGGCGCAGCGTGGAAATTCGCAGAAGACTCTAACGTGAAGTTGGCGGTTTTAAAATTGCGTATACGCCTACTTGCGTTCAGTCATACCACGCAGCGTTGTTTGCAGCTTCTTGTGCGTAATGTGTGGTGGCTGTAGTGCACAACTCACCTAAAGGCTTTCTGCGGCAGCATTACGTCCTGTTGCAATCTTCATACGGAACAACGTGAACAGCCGCCGCAATGGAAGTCTTAGGATATGTTTTGTTATTTTGCGCAACCACAATCGTGCATGAAACACGAAGTTTCTTAAAACAGTTCTCTTGATTTATTTCGCTCCTAGTACGATGAGCTGTCCATTTTGTTTGGGATGAAACTGCCATCTCTTCCGACAAAGGCAGTGCATACTGTCCAGGGCGATTTGTAGTACACCTGCAACGAAGTGAACGTACAGAGCTCGTGAGTCGTATGTGGCCCACTCAGCGCATCCTAAGATTTTGCTGCAGGAAGCGGAAACCGGCCCCTCCGGATGTTAAGCTCCAAACGCCGTGCGAGGCTTCGTAATCGCATTTGAAGCATTCGTATCCGGTATACGAGGCACTGCAATGTCCTCAGAAGCACTCTCTCGGCACGCTGCGTGGGCCGCATATTATCTGTGAAAGGACGAGTAGTCGGTTAAACACAGCGACGTACAAACATCACCACCGCCGGAACAATAAACATTACAAAATACCAGCAATGCGCTGACGATGTCTATGTAACGGCATGATTCTTCGGCGTCTGCCGAACAGCATCGGCAGACGCAGCGGCAAGAACACGGCAAGCGCTCGTAGCGAACCCCTGCTGCTGTTCTTGGCAGTAAACGACGCTCTCCGTAGTTGCATTCATTGTACGTTACGAATACCATTCGCGCAAAAACAAAAGACACCTTATGCTATACCGCAGTATGGCTGAAGATATAAATATGCATGTGCTTACTTATTACCGTTGTGAACGGTGCGACTGTAAGTAGAAAAAACAGCAGGTATAAAACAATAAAATGAGAACTCTCAGTGATACTTTTACTTTGCAAATACTAAAAGCGAATCTCTTACGTTTTTGAGAATTAGGCGATTAGACGGGGTGGCATAAGCCCTGGGCGAAATAAGTGGCCGTCCGTGGGATTCATCCACGACTATCTTGGTGACAGCAGATTGACTGCATCAAGTTGTTTAACTGTGATATTCAGTGCTTTTCCGAAGCTTTGATTGTTCTTTCGATTTGTTTTGTTCTTGTTTGATATTTGGAGTGCACTTTTATGACATCACAAGTCAATTTTAAAGGGATGCCAAATGAAGCAACGACGCAGCGAACTGTAATCGCGCAGCTCCAATGCCCCATAATTTAATACTTTGATTATATTATCAGTGGTGAAAATCGAGGTGGAAATTTCGTTTATAAATTTGGCGCTGAATTTTCTGTGCTCGACATCAAGTTTTCACGAAATTCGCTGGCTGAAATATCATATAAATTCATTTGATAGGTTTATCCCACCCACAAGTGACAATGTCCTTGATTGTTCAGTAGACAACTTCAAAATTTACGACGTCTCAACGTTTGGTGCGGGAATCCTAAAGTGGCGTCCTGTTGTTGTAAGAGCGGCGTTTTCGGGAACGTGAAACTGTACTTCGCTAATATGTGAAAAAGCGTTCAGCTCTTTATTGTCACTTTAAGCACAGCATGCAAAGACTGAATGCCCCTGTTCTTTATCCCCTAGCTCTATTCTTTAATGGTCATGTGCCAAGACGCCTAAATTTTGTATGAGTGACAATCGGGTCAATATTGGCAAGCGACTGCTTAAGTTTAGAAACGTTTCTTATATTGGGTGGCACGACGGCAACAATGATTGGTGCTACTTTACATTTCGTTAGCTTCTTCAAGATTTCTGTCGAGGAGTCCACAGCTGTGAACATCGAACCCATTACATGAATAACCAGCGTTATTTTCGAATTACTGGTGCAAGTGTTATACTGAAAATGCATAATTACGTTCACCCCGTCAAAGGTGAGTCAAAGTACTCACTAAATCGGCCTAGAAAACCACAAATGGGGCTTTAGTTTCTAGTGTGTAATTTAAAAAAGGCTTACCGTATGTACAATGTAACGAACGTATAGTTAGCATAGTCGACACGCCTTCAGAATGATACGCGCCACGCTCATCTTTTAATGTACACCTTTCTATTTAGTAAGAATCCCTATAATCACATTAAACTTAGCTTGACTCGAGTAACAGACGTTTTTGGTAACTACAATCCGAAGACGCAGAGACACAGCGCGGCGTTCGCATAATGGTATTCCAAGCCGGAGGATGAGTATAACTCTGCGTATCCTGAATAGAACACACGAATGAGTAACAAGGCTGTATTAGCGAACCCAATTATGTGAACTGATAAATCAGTTTCTATCTTACTTTATACTGATTTCGCACACGACCAGGTTTCAACTCAATACATAAAAAATCTAGGGTTACATTAAACATATATAGACGAAAAATTTCGCAAATAGAATGTCGAGCAGCGCGAAACGCCCCGGTAGCTTTGCTTTCTCTCACGAGTGTTCAGCTTTTTCTCGCCGAAGAAGTCTCACCCTGCATGCATTTGTGAAAGTTGGTGAAGAGTTCAGAAGGGCGCCGCCAGGAGCTTGTAGAAAGCGCTGCCCGCCATCGCATGGCATTTCTGTCGCATGAACTCACCCCGTGCGTGCAACTTGTACCCCCTCTCTTTCAATCAGGACACCATGGAAAAAATAAAAGCTACAAAAACTTTTCCAGCGCAATGCCGTGAATGCGGCTTCTTAGCATTATCGTGTAGGAGCGTCGTGAATATTTTGACAGCAATACTCACAGTCCTCGGAGAGCAGCGTGAAGAGTATGAAGAAGAGTGTGAGGCTGATGAGCAAGAGCAGGGTGCTCATCGCGATCACGATGAAGCGTTCCCGGGTTCTGTCGATTACGCTGTCAAGAAGAAATTGCAATGATGCTTTCGTTTATACTGGCAGTGTCACTTTCATCTGTCGCTTTGTCCATAACTTTTTACCTTAAGTACATACGTGGCCGCAAAAGGCACGTTCCTATTGAAATAAGTTTTGCATGCAGCTCTTATGCATGACCAAGCGGAATTTCCAACAGCTACTGATCTGTCATTAGGTTTAAAAGCAAAGAAAGGTAATGGGAAAATATACCGCTTACGTATTCACGATTCATTTATGATGAACTCGCCACAGTAGCTTAGCAGATAAGATGGCGCGATGGTAAGCCCCGAGATTGGAGTGTTAGTACCAGCCACTTCGGCTTCATTACAAAAGCCACTGTGCGTTCAAAGGTTAATAAGTGGTTTGCCTACTTGCCTTCACTACCCTTCCTACAGGCGATACCTCTTCCTAGTCACTTCTTTCTTAGAAACACGTGTACAATGTCAGGGCTAAGTGTTAAGCCTACCAATATATTGCGGTTGTCAGCTACACGTTGTTATCGTACTTGCGCAGTCGGAAGCACACGGAAGTAATTGAGATCAGTTTATCGCACACGATAGTAAGGTGAGAAAAGGAAGAACGGATAGCCGACTGCATGATAAAGCAGTGCAGGAGACAACCCACATCTCATATTTCACGTATATGACGACCGAACTAAGGTATGTACTGTAATGACTTCAGGGGGAACCGCAGTCCATGCGTCACGAATCACGCCACAAAGAGGTAGATACGCCAGGAGTGGTTTTTTGCATTCAAAGAGGCTGGTAATAGGCTCTTTATATTAGGCCGATTGCACCAATGTGGGATTTAGATTCAAGCGAATAATAACCTAGGGCTGCCGAAATAGGAAGCTCTCGGCATTGGTGTGTCCCCTTTTTAGCTGTCCGAGAATAGTGAATTTTGTGACCGAGTCAAATAAGTACGAATCAAATCCTATTTGCACAGTTATCGAATAGCAAGGTAGCAATTGTAGAAGCAGTGGTAGCTCTGGAATCGCTCAACATTTTACTTGCAGAAAATATTCACAAAGCTATATTACGATTTCATTTAACCGTCAAAAAAAAAACTACGATTGTGTAAAAAGCAGTATGTTGGTGTGTATCAGCGACTAGAGCAGTAGGAATATGTTATAACTGTGAATTTAAAAGCACCAGTGACTGCAGCATTCACGGTTGCACTTCGCCGCCACTGTTTCAAGAAACTAAATGCGAGGAGAAGATTTAAGCAATGTAGTATCCAATATGCAGCTGAACATTTGGCGAAAACGATACATCAATTATCACCTAATGGCCCTCAGCGCCAGCCCCACCAAAATACTGTTCACCACTGCCTATGCAAGAACGTTACGTTAACATAACGTTGCACGAGTTATCAGCCATGTAAACTTGTACGCAAGTTGTACTCCTACTTTGGAATGCAGCGTAATCCCCAACGTCTTATGACAAAAACCCAGGAGATGTTAGTAGGCTTTCAACACAACACGTTCGCTCTGGTGACACTCCACTTCCAAGCAAGAACGCTTTCATACTGGCCTAAATATATGACATAGAACTGGACTTTCATGAATCTGGGTAATTTGGTGTCTGAAACAAGTGAAAATGAGTCTTCGTTTTTCAAATAAAAGGTTACTTGTAGTTTTGCCCTCATGGTACACTATATGATTAGAGCACAGTTTTATTTGTTATTCGATATCTCAGAATGTTTTCAAACTCAATTTGACTGCATCGCGGTAATGGAACGTGACGCCCCAGAAATTATTTAAACCGAAGTACTAGCTAGCTGCACTAGCATAGCACTGTTGTAGATAGTACTAGCATAGTACTCGCATAGTACTCGCATAGTGTTGCGGTAGCTAGTACTCGCATAGTACTCGTCTAGTACAGCGGTAGCTATAGTACTAGCACAGAACTACCTAGCTAAGTCGCTAGCAACGAGCTATCACACATAGGCTTTTAGCTAATAGCCTTTTACGTTCAATAAGTACTTTTATTTAGTACTTTTTCTGAACCAGCCAACACACGTGATTATTTTCTCAACATAGCAAGCTGCTATTCCTTAGAAATTTTCAGATTCCTACTCCTTATTAATCTTTTTCATGAATTAGGAGAGGGTCAATTATCGTGCATAGAGTAAAAGAGTGTTTACACAATAAAACCTCGTTAATTCGCAGTACCTGGCACTGTGAAAATTCCTCGAATAAAGAGGGTTTTTGAAATACCGGAACACATAAAAAGTGGGATGCAAGGATCTCTGAATTTTTAAAGTAGTCAGCGGCATTCGTCTTTTGTGCCGCCTAGTTGGCAGCTTCAAGGGCTGTTTTCCCGCAATACCTGGTCCCTATGGTGCCGCAAACGGGAGGAGACGACGGGCCGCGCAGCGGTCAGCGTAAGTATAACTACGTAAAGTGAACGAAAAAACTGGTCTCGTGGTTAACTAAAATGAGCATCTGCGTAGACAAAGACGTGCTTCACTGCAATAAAGGAGCCCAACGCGAGCACCATGTGACCTGCTCCTCGCAGCGTCAGCTACCATTTACACATTCTTTCTGATAAAATAAATTTACTAAAAGCCAGTATGAGGTAATTTAGTACGATGTGTTATAGCTTGAAAACATGGTCATTTCTTTGTGAAGCTTTGGAACTGAGTTCCCAACTCGGTGTCGCAGGCAAGAACCATGCAGCAGAGTACATGCGTTAATTATCCTAGCAACCGTCAATCGGACGTTCGCATACATCTCACATTCTGTCAAACTTACATTTATTAATATCCTTGTATTGTCAAAATAATGGGCAAATCATGATCGATGCGCCGACGTTGCGAAAAGCGTGGGACATGTTGCCCACGTGTCGTTTCTGTACTGCAGTAACGCACGTCTTTTTTGCAGGCGCAGGTTCGGGTCCATCACAAATATACCATTTCTTTTTTATTTATTTGCGCTTGCAGAAACGAGAATTTGGGTGGTTCACTTATGACTCATTAGTATCAGTACACTGCCCTTTCTGTGGCTATTAAGGGAACAGGGCAAACTGAAATAGTGAAAAAAATCTATTTTTCTTTTCGTGTTGTTTGAAATCTGTGGCTTTTTATCAAACAGAGTAAGCCGTTTGCTTGTTTCACTGCGAATTCTTTTCTGTAAAAACGACATATCCTAAAACTTCTGTGGCGGCCTGCCACGCCACAATTCTGTACATAGAAAAATATTGCTTGTAGTTGAAGCATCATAGCTATATGGAGAGGTTACTGTATGCAAGCTGTCGTGCATTTAGCACATTCATAAGAAAGTGAGCCCAGCACTACGAAAACGAAAGAAAGCAGGAGCATCAAGCTTTTTGTGAGGAAATGTATATCCAGCCTGGGACATCTTAGTGGTGTGGTCAGTGCAAGCATCAATGCTATTACCGTTTGGCCAGTACATGAAACAGAGCCAGCTTGGGGGAAATGCGAAAGGCTGTCTGGGCCACATACTTTCACATGGCATCAAAGGATACCAATCCATCCCACGGCTTTTGCCGGAAGGACGCCGAAACTTTGTGTGAATTCAACAAAACCCAGTCGAATGATAAACGTCAATAAAGACCACCTTCCAGCACCCATTATTGAGGCTGTTAAGCCAAAATATCTGACACTAGTTCATCCAAAATTACTAGTTCAATACCCCCCCCCCCCCCCCCCCCATGGGAAAACTAAGAACCCTAAGAAGTGGAAGTTTTGTGTGGGAGTGCGTGCCCCAAAAATCGTTTTCCTCGGCCAGCAAACACTATAAATTTCTCCTCTCGATGCTCCGCTTAGGTTTAATGATGGCAATATAGTCCGCATGAATGTGCTGAACTCCTTTGTAATTTTACGAGTGCACCGCACAATGCAAGGCGAAGCACACTTGGCCTGCCTCGACAGTACTTGGCTGACACGGCAGCACAGCAGAAAGCAAAGGCGGCTTGGCAGGCAAGAGTTTTTAACACAAAAACAAAAAATGATATTGGTGATGAATGCCTTGCTGTTGCTTCGGGTCTGTAATGTGCTGTCACCTCACCTAAGTTCGAAATAACGCACATTTTGATGCACATTTTGAACGTTAGACACGATAATTTCAATCATTGCCATCAATCCATAGTATCAATCAATCATGGCCACAAACTTTCCCTGAAATCCTCGCAACGTTATAGCTTGGGAAAGCTGGTGATACTTAGCACACTCAACCGTCCAATCTGTATCAATTATCTCTAAATGATTTGTTATCTCAAAATACCAGCTAATGCAGTAAAATATTGCACCACTAATGACATCCCTTGTCTTTTTTCTAAGACGCTCTTTTTGTAAGATGGTTCTCTCAATTCAAATGTCTTTCGTGTAACTGAGAAGGCGATAATCTAACACTTTTTTATTTCATTACCACAACTGAGGTAAAATGATCAGATATTTATAGGGATCCGCAAGCACGGATGGTTACTTTTACTGAGAGAAGAAACGCTTAATTGAGATAACGTTGGTTACTAAAGCTACTAAGAATGCTGTATTACGTTATAAGCAAATCGGCAATAGTAACCAGACATGGATATTTTAAGCTGTGTTATTATTGGTGAGACTCTTTGGCCAAGGTTATGATGAGTTATTGAGAAATAAAACACTTTTTGGCACTCTTTTTCCCCCCTCCTGTAGCTTCCCCCCCTTTTGTAGCAGAGGGTACCACTGCTACGCCGCAGAACCTGGTATTTATCGCACGTGTGATCGTAGAATGCGCAGGTGATTGGTCGGATAGCAAGCGAGACTTTCGCTTTGCGTACATTTTACCGTGTGCTTCCTGCACGTATCGTCGCACGCTTAACGGAAAGTGTGCTGCCACAACTCCAGCTACCTAAAAATAATGAAATTGAAAGTAATCTGCATGCCAATACTAGTTAACATCTATACTCACGTCGTCTCTCGCGCAATGGCAGCGATGTTCCTCCTGAATAAAAAAAACAAAAAATATTTATAATTCATAATACGATGATCGTACAAGTAAAGCAATGTCACATACATTCTCGTAGGCCGTATTTAAATTCGATTTCTGCTACATGCTATCACCATAGATTAGGACCAGAAAATTTTATCGCTCTTCTTAAATAGCATGACATCTTGAATGATTACTTCTGTAAAGCGCGGTGTCGTTTTTCGTTTACTGCTTCTTGAACCGATCTGTCAAGAAACCTTAAGTATAATTTTATAGTGCATTCTGAGCCTTAGACGTGAATAATAAAAAAAATATTATACATTTTTTTGTGGCCAGACATGCAGCAACGGTCACCCAGCTCGACGTGAACGCCAATAAATATTCTTTTCTACTGGGTGCCCCACTACTTCTATGATTCCTGCCTTTGATGTACGGGGACAGAATCTTTAGTGTGACAACCACACCGCAATTATGAACATGAAGGGCCTTACCAATTTAGTGAGAACTAACACACAAAGGCACCAAGGAACCATTTTTAAAACTCTGATTCATTCCGGTAGTATGCGTGAGATTATTATAGTCAGCTGTCTGCTCGTAATACCATCACGTGCAAAGTGACACCAACAGGCAGAGAAGGTGTCTCCCATTAGCCGTAATGGTTACCGGCGGCGCTGACTGACGCTCCTCCGTTTACCGTTCATGCATACCTTATGAAGAGGACGGGAGGATAACCACCGTCTTGGCTATGTGGCGGATCATCGAACGCGCTATTGGAAGGTCGCATGTTCGGATCCAGCTGATGGCAAGTTACATTTTCGTCCACTTTTCCTTCAAATTTGCATTACAATTACTTCTAATAACATTCCCTTTACTTTCCTAGTCATCATAGTGCCACATTGAATATGCAGCACCAAGAGAACAACGAAGAAAACGCACAGAGAGAGAAGGAGACGAGGTTCTCTTGCGATCAGTTTTGCCAGTGTTCTGGTACAATTAAAGTGAGTTTCCTGTATTCGACTGCTGCTGTTTCTGCATTGTGACACTGGTGGAGGCGCTGGGTAAATGTTCGGGACGCCTGACAACAGCTCGCATCTAGTCCAGAAAGACTTCCGCGCATCGACACCCCCGTTCACCGCAGCAGCCGGCGCCTGTTAGGCCTCAGCCTGAAGTTTGGTCCATTGCCGGAAAGTGTGACTGTGCCAGAAAGCATGACGTCGCCTGGAAGCACTGACCCCAACAGGTCCGGCCCAAGCACATCACAGGTGACTGTTTTACACCCTCGACTTCGGGTTACTTCCACGGAAACGCATATGAGGATGCTGTAATGGTAAGGGACGTTCGTCACTATGTTTGTTTATAGCGGACGAGAAAGGATTAACATGAACAATTTATTTGATGGCATGGGTGGAACGGCTGACGGCGCACGGATACGCTACCGTGTGGAGCGCCGTTGAGTCGGACGTCGTGGCCAACCCAGCAGTCAGGGTCGCAACTCCTGAGGTCTAGGATCAGGCCACGGCTCACGAGGACCACACCCGGTAGGCCTAGCCCACGAACCTGCTCCCGGCCACTGCACCCAGGCAGGAGCCGTTCGGCAGGCCTCGTCCTTGGACCTTGTACAGGCCGACGGACTCGACCCCGAACAGACACACCGGAGCTCGACCTGGCCGACACGCACGGGTCCCACGTCCGGCCCAGGAACGCTGCCAGAAACGCGTCCTCTCGAGCGACGCACCGCTTCCTCTGCCTTCGTGGCCTCAACCCTCGAGCTCTTTATCACCGCCCGGGCGTAGCAGTTCCACGTGCAGGTTCGGGCCAGCATAGCACCGTCTGTGCCGTACTGAAATACTGCTCGCCCCAGCTGTGGTGCGGCAGCTCAGTCACCGGCGTTCCTTGCCTTGGCCAGGGCACCGCCAGGTACCCTCGGGTGCACACTGCAGCTCATGAGCTCGCGGCCCACGTCCGAGTCTGGCGCCTCGCTCGCTACGGCTCGGCACCACTCGGCGATCCTCGATTCAGCCAGCAACTCTTTTGGCACCTGGATCCTCGGGCACCCTGGACCTCGCCCGGCTCCGTGGTCCTCCGTACACACACCCGCGTCTCGCCTGGCAGAACGTCTCGCTCGTCCCTTGCCGATGTGCGCATCGGAGACGCGATGCTCCATGCGGGGAATGGCCAGCCCGTCCAGCGAACAGCTTGCGTCGATACACGATGCTCGGCGCAACCGTGACCATTAGCCAGGCCACCTACGTCGCTGTGCCGAACGGCTGACCGTGCAGACGCCTCGCCGAGATCCGCGACGCCCTCGGCAAGGAATAGATGCAGTACTCGTGCCGGCAATGCCGCCCCAGCTGGTGGTTGGACGGCAACAGCGTGGACGGCCACGTTCCCCGGCCGGAACCTGGATCGCCTGCGTCCGCCGCTTCGGCCCACTGTCTCCCGTCTGCCGCTGCTTCGGCTCGTCCCCAGCCACAAAGCCTACTGCCACGTAATGAACACACGTGGCCTAATCGTGGCACGCCACTTCTATGGGCCACCACTAGTCATCAGCTGATTGGTGCACAGTTGCCTCGTAATCGCACGTGCCTTATTCTTCTCCTCTTCTTCTTTTCTTGTTGTCGCCTTCGTGCCACCTGCCCTCCGCTCATCTTCTTCAGTTTTGGTTTGACGTTCCTCGGCGTCTTTAAGTTCTTTCCTTACAGATGCACATGACTGGCTCGAAGAATTCGAGCACACAGCGAATGTTAACGGATGGAACACCACACAGAAATTGGGCTACGTTTATTTTCCGCTTGAAGACGGAGCCCGAACATGGTTCACGAATCGCGTGTGGTCGTCTTGGGACGAGTTCCGGGAGAAGTTCCTCGACACGTTCGCGAGCACTGAAAGACAAGAAATCGCACAGCGTCTCCTCGAGTCACGTATTCAGAAACCAAATGAATCCGTTACGATGTTTGTTGAGGAGATGGCGCGGCTATTTCGTCGAGCAGATCCTAATATGCCCAAAGTGAAAAATGTTAGCCACCTCATGCGGGGCGTTAAGAAGCAGCTCTTCGCTGGTCTCGTACGAAACCCACCTACAAGTGTGGATGAATTCTCCAAGGAGACGACATCTATTGAACGCGCACTGCATCTACGTTATCGCCCGTATGACCGCCCAACCCACAGTGCACCGATCAGCGTGGCAGCCACGACCACAGCAACAACACCTGACGAAGATTTTTTGTGCCAATTAATACGAGAAATCGTACAAGAAGAGGTCAAGAAGCTCGTAGCCAAACCGAATGACTGCGCGATTGCCTCAGTAACGGAAGTTGTACGCCAAGAGATCAGGCAAGCGCTCTCGCTTCCTGAGCCGAACACGAGCACTCCCAGGGCAAGCTATGCAGACGTAGTCCGCCGACAGCCAGCGAACGTGCCGACACCACATCAGTACTACCAGCAACATCCGCCGACAACGCCTTGATACTACAGAGAAACTTCGATGCCGAGGCGGCCACCACTTCGCAAAACTGACATCTGGCGTACCCTTGATCTTAGGCCCCTGTGCTTTCACTGTGGGGAAGCAGGCCACATCGTCCGGTATTGCCCGTATCGCGCCGCAGGGTACCAAGGGTTTCCTTTCACTGTTCCTCGGCGCCATTTCAACGGAACACCTGACGTTGACGTCAACACGAGTGTCATGACCCCACGGGACGTTCCTCCTGGGTTTCGGTCACGCTCACCCTCCCCTGGGCGTTATTCTCCATCCTCCAGACGGAGCACCACTGACATGCCAAGAGGGACATCTCCTAGTCCGCACCGGGGAAACTGCCCCGCCGCGGTGGTCTAGCGGCTAAGGTACTCGGCTGCTGACCCGCAGGTCGCGGGTTCGATTCCCGGCTGCGGTGGCTGCATTTCCGATGGAGGCGAAAATGTTGTAGGCCCATGTGCTCAGATTTGGGCGCACGTTAAAGAACCCCAGGTGGTCGAAATTTCCGAAGCCCTCCACTACGGCGTCTCTCATAATCGTATAGTGGTTTTGGGACGTTAAACCCCACAAATCAAATCAAATCATCAAATGGCGCCGGGGAAACTAAAAGCAGTGACTTCAGGGGGAAAAGTTGCGAATCGTCAAAGTGCTGAAAATCCCCCAATACTGCCGAGCGAAGAGAGACACATTTTCAATGAATCGACGAAAGATGGGGTTGTTACTGCCGAAGTTGCAATTGCGATTGACGGACATGACGTCATGGCATTGGTCGACACTGGCACGGACTTCTCAATAATGAGTGAGAGTCTGGCAGACACGCTCAGGAAGGTTAGAATGGAATGGACAGGACCGCAGATTAGAGGAGCTGGAGGGCACCTACTCACACCTACCGGAAAGTGCACCGCAAGAATGAAGATAGGGGATGCATCCTTCGTCGTAACTTTTGTTATTCTTTCTGAGTGTTGCAAAAAGGCATCTTGGGAATGGATTTGTTGCGTGAATATGGTGCCATCATCAATATTCCGGACGGTGTACTGACCTTTTCAGCGGGTCAAAGCGCAGCGCTACACCGAAAATCCCTGCGAGTTATTGACGATGTGACCGTACCTCCGTTATGGTGCCGCCTTGTTGCAGTTACGTGCAGCGAGCAGAATACTGGAGAAGGAATCGCTGAACAAGTATTGACGCTTCTACTCTCTCGCGTTGTTGCAATTGCCAGAAGTATAGTCAATGTTGTGCGAGTGGTGCAGCAGAGGTTCTGTTGACGAATTTTACAACGAGCGACGACACATTACACAAGGCACTACAGTTGCCTACTTCGATGAGATCACCAAAATCCGTGTAGTACAACAGGACGAGCCGCAAGCCACGTAAGCCCCACCACCTATTGACGTAAGCACGGATTTGTCACGAGCGCAGAGACAGCGTCTAGTAGATCTTCTTCACCAGTTCAAAGACTGTTTTTCATCGACCTGAAGGGTCAGCCAAACGCCACTGACGAAGCATCGGATAATAACGGAGGAGACGGCAAGGCCAATACGACAAAACCCATACCACGTAGCACCGAAAGAGCGTGAAGCAATCCAGGAACAAGTGAAGAAAATGCTCGATGATGACGTCATCTAGCCGTCAAGAAGACCTTGGGCATCGCCGGTAGTGCTGGTTAAAAAGAAAGACGGAAGCTTGCGATTTTGTGTCAACTACCGCAAGCTGAACCGTGTGACAAAGAAAGACGTATACCCATTACCGCGCATCGATAATTCACTCGACAGGCTGGGGAAGGTTATGCACGCTACTTTTCGTCAATGAACCTCAAAAGTGGGTATTGGAAAATTGAGGTCGACGAGCGAGATAGAGAAAAAAACGGCTTTTGTAACGCCTGACGGACTTTATGAGTTTAAAGTCTTGCCATTTGGATTGTGCTAAGCCCCCAAAACATTTCAGAGACTGATGGATACCGTTCTGTCAGGCCTTAAGTGGCAGACATGTCTGGTCTATCTGGACGACGTCATTGTTTTTCTAAAACATTTGAGGAACACCTGAGCAGGCTGCTATTAGTATTGAGGGCAATAAGGTCTGCCGGCCTGACACTGAAACACGAGAGGTGTCAATTCGGGTTCAAGGAGCTCCAATTTTTAGGCCATGGGGTGAGCTATGAAGGTGTTCGACCTGATCCCGATAAGATTGTGGCCGTCGGAAATTTTGCGGTGCCAAAAGACAAGAAAGCAGTCAGGCGTTTCCTTGGCCTATGCGCACACTACCGAAGGTTTATTGCCAATTTCTCCCACATAGCCTCGCCGTTAACACGACTCACAAGAAAAGACGTTTTGTTCACATGGGGCGACGATCAACAGGTGGCATTTGACGATCTCCGACAACGCCTGCAGACTCCGCCTGTGCTTGCTCACTTTGATGAGGATGCTCCTACCATGGTCCACACAGATGCCAGCAACGTGGGTTTAGGCGCTGTACTCGTCCAGTGGCAAGACTCAGCCGAGCGTGTGACCACATTTGCTAGTAGGACGCTTTCCCGCGCCGATTCCAACTACTCCACAACGGAAAAAGAGTGTCTTGCTGTCGTATGGGTGGGTATGAAGTTTCGTCCGTACTTCTGTATGGTCGTTCCTTCCACGTAGTCAGCGACCATCATTCCGTCTGCTGCTGACCAACTTAAAAGACCCGTCTGGTCGGTTCGCACGGTGGAGCTTACGCCTTCAAGAGTTTGATATGACGGTCGTGTATATATGACGGTCGTGTATAAGTCGGACGGCAGCACGTCGACGCCGATTGCTTATCAAGGTCACCGATAAAGCGCGACGATGACACAGAAGATGACAGGATGGCGTTTGTAGGAGTCGTCGACACCACTACGATTTCGTGCAAGTAGAAAGAAGACAGTGAGTTGCTTCCCCTCATTGAATTTTTGAATGGCCGGACAACAACCGTCCCTAGAAGATTTGCAAGGAGCCTGCCGTCATTCTGCTTACGTAGTGGTGTTCTCTATAAGAAGAACTTTTCTCCCAGAGGAAGCACCCACCTACTTGTCGTTCCGACGTCAATCCGTGAGGAGATACTTTGTGCTTGCCACGATGAGCCAACGTCTGGTCATCTCGGATACACTCGCACATTGGTCAGAATCCAACAGAAATACTACTGGCCAAGACTTCCAGCTATTGTGAAGCATTACGTGTGCACGTGCCTCGATTGCCAACGATGAAAATCGCCACCGTTGAAACCAGCTGGACTATTACAACCAATTCACTTGCCCACGGTACCTTTTGCCCAAATTGGAATGGATCTTCTTGGACCATATCCGACTTCCCATGCTGGCAACAAGTGGGTAATAGTCGCCACTGAATATCATACGCGCCACGCGGAAACAAAGGCTTTGTCAAGCGGCACCGCCGTTGAAACCGTACTATTCTTCGTAGAAAATATCGTCCTGAGGCACGGTTCTCCGACAATCATAATAATGGATCGAGGTGCCGCTTTCACGGCCGCGCTTCTGAAGACAGTGCTTGAGCTCAGTGGAACAGCCCATCGGAAAACCACTTCCTATAATGCACAAACCAACGGCTTAACAGAACGCCTCAACAAGACTATTGCCGACAAGTTGAGTATGTACGTCGACGTGGATCACAAGAACCGGTACGACATTCTACCGTACATCACGTTCGCTTATAATACAGCGCAGCAAGAAACTACACGAAGAACGCCACTCCGTCTCCTTCATGGCCGTGAAGTGACGACGACGCTTGACGCCATGTTACTGCACGACTGCAATGACATCTATTTGGACGCTGTATCTTTTACCCAACGAGCAGAAGAAGCGAGGCAGCTTGCGCGCGTCCGAATCACCCAGCAGCAAAATTACGACGCCCAACGTTATAATCTGCGACACCGACATGTCGTCTATCGGGCCGGCGACAAAGTCTGGGTATGGAGTCCTATCCGCCGCTGGGGACTGTCTGAAAAATTGCTGAAGAAGTATTTTGGCCCATACACAGTTTTACAACGCCTGAGCGACGTTAGTTACGTGGTCGTTCCTTACAGCCCCTCGACAACTCGCCAGCAAAAACCAGAAATCGTGCACGTTGTGCGAATGAAGGCCTACTTTCCGGACTGATTTACAACATACATCTACTACACCGTCTTTTGTAGAAGAGCATCGGGACGCTGCTCTCTGGAGGGGTGCAAATGCCACATTGAATATGCAGCATCAAGAGAACAACGAAGAACACGCGCAGAGAGAGAAGAAGACGAGGTTCTCTTCCGATAAGTTTTGCCAGTGTTCTGGTACAATTAAAGTGAGCTTCCTGTATTCGACTGCTGCTGTTTCTGCATTGTGACAATAGGTTGTTCTCCAAGTTATTTATGTAACAAAGAATACGAACCACTAAAATTAACACTTTTTTCCTTCAGCATGATTAGTGGGGCTCAGTATAAAAAATAAAACGGCTGCCATGTTTCGTGTGGTCAGTGTTCCTACGTTTACCCTTGAAATGTTCGCCTGCTTTGACGCACGAGTAACGATGTAACTTGTGGGCTTGGTATGAACTTTGATAAAATTGTGCCTGATGAGGCGGCGAAAAAATATTCTCGTAGCGCAATTGGCTAAGAAAAAACAAGCATCTGCACAGAGCTGTACGTAGAGAAAGCGGAACAAGAACAAAACAAACGGTATCTAAATATGAAACAACTCAATTCTCAATACAGCCGTAGTTTTACAGGTCACGAAACTAAGGCAGTTTCGTGAACATGATTCATGTAATTAACCTCGGGCCTTTTATCACACAGTTTGCCACAGCAAACAAAGGCGGTTGATCGCGGCCAGCTCGTCCCTGTGATGAAGTGGAAAACTCTCCAAGATCACTCACGTGTATGCGCTGGGGCTCACAGTATCGGTGGCGGTTTCGCCAGAGGAGAACACCGGGAACCTGACCACAGATCCGGCGGTCATGGTCACCATGTGGATGCCTACCTCTCCCTCTCAGGTCAATACTGCGCGTGTAAAATAAAAACGGCAAAAATGAGTAACACATGACCGCTGTGGATAAATGGACAGTGCTATAGAACATGCAAAGTGGTCACCGATCACGCAGGTTACGCGATGCTCAGACAAGCATGGCCGAGATTATTTCCTGGAGAAGGGTGTTTACCAAAAACATCATTACTCTTTAAATTACGAAACCCAGTTTAATTCCTTTTCAAGCTGACTCTGCCAATGCCAAGTTTTGTTGTTTGCGCATCACTGCGGTAAATTTCATTCCATAACGAAATTACTACTGCCAAAGCCGCCGTGATATTCGCCGACGTGAAAAAATGTTTGGCTTGTGGAAAGATTGGTGTTGCAAATGTTGCAGAAGATTAAAATAAATGTTTAGAGCCATTTCGAAAAGGCATATTTTTAAAATTTTGGTTTGGTCAATAATTCAGTTGAATTGTAAGAACGTTTCGGTAATTACATTCGCGAGCATTCCCAACGCCTCCACCATAATTGACACCGAGAACCTGTTTGGGGAAACTGTCGATCGTTGAAATCGCTAATTAGAAAGATGCCCTAATTGGCATAGACTCTATGTAAACGTTCCTCTCTCACAATGCGTGGTGGGCCCTTCGCTGGTTCGCGAAAGAGAGAAATATGGTGTAGTAGGCAATTCGCAATGGTAGTTGGCAGTAGGCTTGTTGCATTGTTGAAACAGCTAATGTTACAGCACAGACGGTTCTTTCCTAGTAGGACCGTCTAGGCGATTATTTTGAAGCAGCGCGACGCTACCGAGAGAGAATGCTGTAGCAACGGGGCACGATTACGCTGTCGCTTTCTGCTATTGAAGTAGCAAGTTGAGCGTCCTCCAGCGTTCGTATGATGACAGAAGGAAGGACAGGTGCTGACTTGCCCAAGCCTTGCCCTAGCCTTAACCCAGGCAGTGTTCTTAAGACTTTTCCAAGCTTCAATCTGTCCAAGTTTTAAGTTTAGACAGAAAACATTTAGCATGTTCCAATGGACCACCAGGTTCTTCGCGAGCGCTCATATTTCTTCATTTAGATCGATTTCAGAATGAATAGCGGTACTCTTTGGTGTCGGAGCTGATCTGGGTTGAGTAGTCCTTAGCGTTATCTCTATGTCCAGTCAAGGCTCATGCAACAACATCCTCGTTAATTTGTTTATTATGAACGCAGAAGCTCATGAACAAGTACAACAGGCAACAACAGATTGTTTGGCAGGTACAAAATTCTTTTCAAAAGCCTGCTTTGGCGATTTAGCTACCGTCCAAAAAAAAAAGAGCGATGACGTAGTGCCATTTACCACACGTCAACAACATCAAGTACCATACCTAACTTTCGCGATGACGCTAAACGCAGTGTCATCGCAACATCATTGCGCAGAAAAAAAGTACTAAAGGAGAGGTGCTACTCGATAAATGCAAGTGTTTGCCAAAGAATTGTTTTTTTTGCTTTTTTCACAACAAAAAAATTGTCACCTAAGGCCAGTTGGCAATTTAGCATAGATTTAGCTTTTAGAATACCATTCGTTTTTATATTTAGAATACAATTTGTTTTTACAAGCCTCGTTTTACATTCACGACTAAAAAATCAAGGCTGTACGTAATGTAAAATCGAATAAAATTATTTTAAAAAGCACAAGGTGGCTCTTCAAAAAATGGCCTTGTGTTTCTATGCTTAGTTGCAAAGGACGCCCGAAAACGATAGTCTTCTGTCTGGAGGCGCTGCTTGAAAAAACAAAAGCTCCTCTTTTTTTTAGTATGCAGAGCCACTGGTAGGTGAAACACTGCCTCGTCTTGGTTGAGCCCCTGAATTTTTTCGTTTTTTTGTAGGAAGCGTAGGAAACACCCTGTTTGTTGTTAAAGGCGTCACATTGTCAGCGCAACGTATTAAACAATTCGGTCTTTCGAATTACGCACCTATGCATTTTCTAAATGAAAAGTCACACTTTCTATCATATAGGTATTCACGTGCCAATTGAAGACGGGAGGTAGTGTCACAGAACGAGCGCTAAAAAGAGAGCGCGCCGCCAAATCCTTGCGACAACGGGCGGTAGAAACGCCGCGAGGAAAAAAGAAAAAAAAAAGAAAGCAAACATCCAAGGCTCCCGGGCGCGCGCTCTCCCCGCAGAAGCACGGCTTCGCAGACGAACCTCCTCACCCCACAGCGGCGGCCGGGCAAGCGCTAGAAATTTCCAGAACGAAGGAGGCGTGGCTACGCCGAGCTGAGTCACCCGACGCGGAGGGCTGACAAACCGTCTCGCCTCTCTCCAGCCTTCGCTGCGTATCGCGCCGACGAAAGGACGAGAAAATTCTGGAAAGTGGCGCGGAAGGTATTTAATCGAGCGGCCGAGACGAGAAAGCAGGTGGTGACGGAAGTTAACGCCAGAGCGCGTAGGAATTCCGCCGTGAAGTCGGCGAAGGTTCTGCCCGTAGTGACAGAACAGGAGGAGACGGAAGTGAGCGCCAGAGTGCGTAGAGAGTCCGCCGTGTAGTCGGCGAAGTTTTTGGTCCGTAGGGACGGCTCGAGCTACAGGCAAGAGCGTGGGTTTACCGCTATCGAGCGAAGACGCGGGCAACAGCTGCGTGTGTGAAGCCGACGGGTTCCGGCGAAGAAGTTGAAGTTTGGAGAGTGGCCATTTGAGGACGCGAGGTTTCCTGGAAGAGAAACTCCAGAGAGCTGCGGAACGACAACAACGCTGGACTTTGAGTGAGTGATTCTCGGAAGAGTATCATTCAGACTTTTGTTCCAAGGACTTTGGACTGAATAGGTTTTCTATCTCTTTAGTCCTTAAGTGTCTTGGTTGTTCAATGCATGTGACTGCATCGTGGTGCGTATTGTTGTCTGTGTCCGTTGTTTCAAGTGTGGTTGATTGTACTGTGTAGTACATTGTCTGTTTGGTGACGTATTGTATGTAACTATTGTGGAGAGTGCATACGTGTGTATTGTTTTTGATCTGCCGTTAATGAGAATATAATTTTGTTTGTTTATCATCTCTCGGCTCTGTCTTGTTCTTTGGGCCACAGCCGGCGTCCGCTGGCGCACCAATAAGGACCACTTCTAAATTGTCCACGCTTTCGTGGTGCGGTTCGGGGGGCCGATACTTCGGCTCTTGGAATTAGCCCGGCGATCGCCTCCCTAATAAACGGGACAGGTGTGACAATTAATCTGGCGTCCGCGACAGGACAGGACCTTTTGGTGCACAGTGTGTCCAAAGTAGTGAGAAAGAGCCTCGAGTTGTTGATAGTGCTATCGGAACGATTTTGTGTGTTGTTTAGTGTTCTCGTTAACGAGTGCAGGAGAGTGTTCCGATAGACTATTTAGGCAGATACTTTTTGCACGCGGCAAGGTTTTAGTTGCGAGTTGCGGGACACAATGGATCTCGAAAAGTTAGTTGCTCTTGGTGAAAAGATGGGTCTTTCTGGCGCCGAACTACGGAAGTGGGTCACCCAGAAGGAAAAAGAAGAAAAAGAGAGAGCCAAAGAAGAAAAAGCAGCCGAGCTGGAAAGAGAGAGGTTGGCGGCAGAGAGGGCCAAGGAGGAAAAGGCAGCTGAGTTGGAGAGAGAAAGGCTGGCCGCTGAAAGGGCGAGAGAAGAAAGAGAAGCAAAGGAGCGACAGCTGAAAGAAGAAAGAGAGGCAAAAGAGCGACAGCTGAAGGAAGAACGAGAGCAGCAATTGAAGTTGGAGCTGGAGAGAGAGAGGTTGGCAGCTGAAAGGGCGAAAGAAGAAAGAGAGGAAAGGGAACGGCAGCAACAGCACGAGATAGAACTCGAGCGGCTCCGTTTGCAACAGCGAAGTGAAACTCCGGTCCAAGCTAGAGTGGAAAGCAGCGAACGAGAGGATCACGGCTTCCGCTTGAACCCAAGCAAGCTGCTCGTAGCGTTTGATGAAAGGAAGGACGACCTAGACGCGTACCTCCACCGATTTGAGACGATTGCGAAGAGCCAGAGTTGGCCGGAACATCAATGGGCAACTGCTTTGAGTACCTGCTTGAGTGGTGAAGCGCTCAGTGTGTACGGTAGGCTGACGCCGACCGATGCAGCCAACTATGCAAAGGTGAAAGCTGCTTTGTTGAAGCGATTTAGATTCACTGTGGAAGGGTTCCGGGACAGATTTCGGACAGGAAAGCCAGCTGATGGTGAGACGGCTACGCAGTATGCCGCCCGACTTTGCCATTATTTCGACAGATGGATTGAACTTTCAGGGACAGCACAGGAGTACGATGAGCTTAGAGAGCTGATAATTAAAGAACAATTTCTTACTAGTTGCCACCCAAGCCTGTCGCTGTATTTGAAAGAGAGGAAGGCGGAGTCATTTGAAGGAATGCTTGAATTGGCTGATCAATTCTTAGAAGCGCAAGGAGGAACTAATTTGGCCAAGGTCAAGAAGGATTGTCCCGAGGATTCGAAGAAATTGGCTACTGAAGAAAAGAAGCGTGCACCAGAGAGCATGCAGCGATGTTTTCTGTGTAACCGAGTGGGTCATCGCGCGAAAAACTGTCGAACGATCTTTACGAGCCCTACGGTTGTAAAATGTTTTAAGTGTGGTCAGACTGGGCACAAAGCAGACGCTTGTCGGAACGGAGTGAGTCAAACTCACCAGGTATCTTGTGTGCAAGCGGCACCGAAATCTGATAATAATGCCGTCACCGATGGATTCGTAGAGTTGAAGAATGGGGAGAAAATTCCTATTGTGGGGGCTGTAATGTCAAAACAGCCAACCGGTGTTACGAAGGGAATGCCAACGCTTCCTGGAAAGATTGCAGGCAAGAAGATTACGGTTCTAAGAGACACCGGTAGCTCCACGGTTATCGTGAGAAGAAATTTGGTACGGGAAAGAGAGTTGACAGGCAGAACGAAACCGGTTTGCCTAATTGACCGTACGGTCCGGATGCTTCCCGAAGCAGAAATTGAGGTTGAAACCCCGTACTTCAGCGGGAAGGTTACTGCGTTATGCATGACGACCCCCCTGTATGACCTTGTCATCGGAAAC